CCGTTCATAACATCCGTCGTAAGCGCGCCTGTCGCGTGCGGCTCCTTGGCACTTTGCCAAGTCCTTTAATTGCGCTCTCAAATACGAGGAAAACGCAAATTTCTTGTTGAGGAATGATGGTAGTTGTTTACTCTAAGTGATAGTAGTACTGAGCAACACCAGATCATTCCTGTATAAAAGACTGTTTGTCGAGTATGGTTCACTTTTCGTTCGGCTTCGCTTCGACATAATAAACGACTACGCTGCTCGCGGTGTGATACACAACATTGGCGATCAGGAGCACCAGGACTACCAGGACTCACCCGTACCAGGATCAGCCAGCACCAAGACTACCAGGAACAAGCTCTACCAACCAAGGATCTCAAGATGCCAAAGTCCTCCGGAGACGCCAATCCTGCCCCAGCCACACTTGAGGTACTACTTCAGTCTATGATACAACAACTTCAATTTCAGCATGAAGAGATGAAAATGCTGTTCAATTCCCTTGCGCCGAATAGGAATAATGGCAAAGACTGTCAGGATGGCCAGTATGACCAGTTGAATAAGGAAGTTCAAAAGTTCGAACCAGATGAAGAAACCGGACACACTTTCGACTACTGGTATAAAAGGTACGGCCCAATGATTCGAGAGTCGAGTGTGCCAGATAGCAAGAAGAGAGATCTTATTCTGTTGAAACTGGAGGATAGCGCGTATCGCAGGTATGCAGACGATATTCTTCCGTTACAACCGCACGAGATTGACCTCGATTCCACAGTAGCAAAGCTCCAAAAGTTATTCGCATCCAAGAAAACGCTAATTCGTCGACGATATGAGTGTCTGAAGATAACCTGCCCAGCACTGACTCCAGACAACATACCGTTTCGAGAGTACGCTAATATGATCAAGCGGATGGACGAAGAAGCTTGCTTGAAGGAAATGGACTACACGGCGCTGAAGACTTTGCAGTTCGTCGCAGGTCTTCAGGACCCTTCACTCCAGGAAGTACGTCTTCGAATGCTGCGTAGGCTCGATACGCAAGCGGAAGACGCGCCGTTGACAATCGAAGATCTCGTTGCTGACTGTGAAAATTTCACAGCCTTGAAGATGGATAACGCCAATATGGGAACAAGCCATGACATCCATGCTGTTCAGAAAAAGAAGGTCAAATGCTTCGGATGTGGAGGACCACATTTTAAGAGCGCTTGTCCACTTCTCAAACAGATCTCCAAGAAACCGAAAAGGCAGCACCACCGTCGTAAAAGGAAGCAATGCCGGAATGTCGCAACTTTTGCCCCTGAGAAAGCAAGAACATACGTCGATGTCGATGTCAGAGGACATCCTCTACGTTTCCAACTCGACACTGGAGCAGATATCACGCTGATATCTCGTCGAACATGGAAAAAGCTCGGATCTCCACCCTTGGAATCCTGTAATATGCCAGTTAAAACGGCAGACGGATCACCGATGAAGATTGATGGAAGATTCTCCACAGACTTCTCCGTGAGAGACCGTACTACGGGAACGAAATTTCAAGGAAATGGTTATTGCTACGTCACCGGAAATACAAATCTACTTGGTTTGGAATGGTGTATTCAACTTCCCGCATACAAGGAGTTGCAAAGCAAATACCACTGTCGAATGGTGAGCGAAGCGGAAACTGCCCGAGCACAGTTAGTTGCAGACCTGAAGAAGCGATACGCAGAAGTTTTCAGCTGCGAGCTTGGTCGATGCAAGAAAAGGAAAGCGAAGTTGTTCTTGAAGGAAAACACAATACCTGTTTTCAAAAAGAAGCGACCAGTCCCTTATGCCTCCGTGCCAGAATTAGATGCAGAGATTGATCGTTTGGTCTCCACTGGTGTGATTTCACCAGTTGATCATTCGGAGTGGGCCGCTCCCGTCGTTGCAGTCAAGAAGAAGAATGGACAGATTCGTTTATGTGCCAACTTCTCAACAAGATTGAACGACGCCCTACCACTGCATCAGCATTCATCACCTCCTACAGAAAAGGTGTGCAGAAGGCTAAATAGAGGACAGAAATTCACACAAATCGACTTGGCAGATGCGTATCTGCAGGGAAAAGTCGAAGAAGAGAGGGGGGGGTTTTCGAAGGCGGTGTGACGATAAAAAACGCCAGCGTGACCAAGGAAATTCGATTGGAAGACGCAGTCAGAAGGACGAAGAAAATCCGAGGTCACAAGGGAATGCTCCAGGGAAGCAGTCCAAGCTCCATCACGGAAAACCAGAAAAGTCGTATCAGATGGAACAAACTGTATGGACAAGAGACTTTCGCCCTGGACAGAAGAAATGGATATCCAGCTCGCGTGAAGAACCGTCATGGTCAAGTCATGTATGACGTACTGACGGAAGATGGTCAGTTTTGGAGAAGACACGTCTACCAAATTCGACCAAGATCGAAAGGAATCACCAGCTGTAGAGCAGAAATACCTCGCAGTCCGCTGCCCCGCCGGCAGATACAAGCAAGGCGAAACGACACCGACAGCCACCCAGCCGTCTTCAAGTGAATCCAAGAATGAAGACATATGATACATATTTCGTAGGGGGGAGGTGTTGAGGAATGATGGTAGTTGTTTACTCTAAGTGATAGTAGTACTGAGCACACCAGATCATTCCTGTATAAAAGACTGTTTGTCGAGTATGGTTCACTTTTCGTTCGGCTTCGCTTCGACATAATAAACGACTACGCTGCTCGCGGTGTGATACACAACATTCCTGATGCGGATAACATTGGAGGTGCTACAAAATAAGAGCAGAAGATGATGACAAGGGCAGAACTCAAGAGCAACTCGGCTGCATCTGCAGTATCCATCAAGGGCCGCGCATTCCACAAAACATGAAAATAAAAACAGCCCAAGCGTCCCACTCGTTTGTTCTAAGTATTTCTATGGCTTTGGCGCCGGATCGTAGAAATTTACAGGCCAGTTTATCTAATTTGCCTTTCCTTGATTTTTTCATTTTTGTTTTGTTTACATTTACATCGTGTGCTTCATTTCTAGCCTGTGTCATCTTCATCTCCTTGTACATGGATTTTGAAGCATGAGCAATACCTAAAATTTCATTCGCATCAGGAAATTGCGTCTTGCTTGTATTAAACTAACGAGTATGCCGTTTTTATTTTCATGTTCGTGAAATAGCGTGGCCTCGAGGACTGTTTGCAGAAGTAGGCACCAGTTGCTTTCAGTTCTTAGACCTCGTCAGTCATCTGTTCTGCTCTTACTTTGTAGCACCTCCAATGCTTATGCCGCATCAGCCGAAATTGCAGTAGCAGGCGGGCGCGCCGGGTGTCCTTGATTTGACGAGGCGAGGAGCAAGGTTGAGGAAGGACTTGGGAACGGAGTGGCCAGGAGGGGAGCCCACGCGGCCAGCGCCGGCCGCTTGTACACGATGTGCTATGAGAGCGGCGGGGGATCTGGGCCGCCCGCGGTAAAAGAACGGCGCGTGCGGCAGCATGGAGGAATTAGCAGTGTTTTTTCACGGCCCTGTATGCTCCATTCCTGGGCAGCTTGAGGGGACACGACGACATCGACATCTGCGGGGCTGATTAGTTCTCTACACCTCAATGTGTATGAGCGTACTAGTGTCTCTTAAAGCAGCGTTCAGACTTCGACAGCAGCGCCTCGGTTGCGTGTTCGACCGCGATCGATTGCTCATGGTTCGGATAGGCGTCCGATCGCGAACGTTGCGACCGGAGCACTGCCGTCGCGAGGTCTGAACCTGCCAAGCAGAAAATCCCGTCGACATGGAGGGTATACTTGTCAAAAATAATGAATTGAATGAAAAAACCCACAGCTTTCCTCTATTTCCAATTTCTTCTCCGCAAATCTAATACGCTCCTTTTCCAACGGCTCATTTACTACCCTACCCCCGTTAAGTTTTCAACAACGATGATGTATTTTCCATATATAATAAGTTACTCAAGAGATTAGTATGAATCTTTATTTATAAAGCAAATCCAAGCAAACGTAAAACTGACTTACTTTAAGCTGGTGATCAGTCCGGCTCATTTACAACTCAAAATGAGGCTTAAGGGACTTCTGCTGCGAACTTGCTGCGTTGATCTTATGTACTTGTTTTCATGACACTACCGAGGTACTGATCGATGATTTCTTGTTTTTTACAAGGTGACGGAGGCAAAGGCGCTGAAACGTTGGACATTGAACAGTTTTGTAAATAAAGATTCATGCCAACCTCAAACGAGTTGAATAAGTCATATTTGTACTATGCCGAAATTAAATGGTGGTCGATGCACGATGATGTAAAGGTTTCGAAAGAGAAGCTCTAGAAGGTAGAACATTCTCGGTCTACGAGCACACGGTGGCTGCTACCCAAGTGCCACCCGTTGGAAAGGCGCTTAGAAACCAGAATTGCGAGCTACGCTGGGTGAGGAGAGCTCTTTAGGCTTGAGGGTCAGTGTCTCAACGTCTTTTCAAAGTGTATGTTCTGGCTTACGGTGATGGTGAAGTTGCGAAATCTCTTCAGTGGAATACCAAAGCTCTGGAGGGACTCACTTTCGAGCCGATCCTGAAAATTTACTTTTGTACATTTTGTAGGATAAAAAGTTTAAGCTACTCGTAGGCAAAATTTCGTAATTGACAGTACAGTTATTCAGGTAGCGATGACATCCCGTTTTGAACAGAGGAATGATGTTGCAGTTATTCCGTAATTATGGAAATCTCGTACTGGAAATGGCTGCTGTTGTTCCAGATGGGATGGTCGTATTCTTCACCAGTTACGTGTACATGGAACAAGTTATAGGTGTTTGGTACGAACAGGTAGGTTCAGGATAAAACAGGCGCCAGATCCTCGGGAGGGGGGGGGCACCAATGAGTGCTCGGCGGAGCATCTACAGGCCCGTTTGTGAAGACTTGTGAATTCTTTCTGCCAATGTGGCTCACCTGTTCCATTCTGGAGCTACATAAGATTATGATTTACAAGTTGATAGTTGTTAAATATTTGTTAGATTGCATGAACTAATAAAAAGAACTAACAAAAATGCAAAGTGCCACTCCTAAGCCGAACAGCGCCAAAGTAACTTTTGTCATCCACTGTGGCAAAAATTTACCTATACCTGGCCACGGGAGTGCTTTTCCGTTTCAGCATGTAATCGACGAATTGATGAAATCGAAACTATTGTTCATAGAAACGAATGACGCATTGGAAACATCTGTAGCTTTGGAAAAGTAAGTATTCTCTATTACTGGGCTTCTGTTCATCAGTCTTCACTGCTATATTCAGATACGTCGAGGCTTGCGACAGCGGTCGTGGTGCTTGCCTTTTCTCTGTAGCTCGCGGAAAAGTTTCAGAAGGAATTGATTTCAGTCATCATCTTGGTTAGTAAGGATCAGAATTAATTCAAGCCTAACCGCGAGGTAGATAAAAAATAGCGATTCCTCTTCTGTGATGGGGTGAAACGAACCTCCTTGGTTAGAATGGCTTTTTTTTTATTTATATGTGCTGTTGTTTTTTCCAACTAGCTTTTTTGCCGTGTATATCTGCCTTTCTTTATATGTTTATTTTCAGGCCGGTGTGTAATAATGCTGGGGATTCCTTACGTGTACACAGAAAGTCGTATTCTGCGAGCGAGGCTTGAGTATCTTCGGGATCAGTTTGCTATTAAGTACGTGGTCTTGTTTATTGGCCACTTCTTTCCGATTTAATTGGGAACCTTTCAGGGAAAATGACTTTTTAACTTTTGACGCAATGCGGCACACTGCACAGTGTATGGGACGAGCTCTCCGAGGAAAAACTGATTATGGTCTCATGATTTTTGCAGATAAGGTTCGCTTTAGACCGAGTTTTGCGATGTCGGCAATAGTTACAGTCATCATCCGGTAGTGGATTTAGGCTGCCGAGAAGACGCAACGCGGCATGCTGCGGCCGTCACGACGCGCAATCAATGTTTCCAGCCTAATTTAGTCCATTTTCTCCCTGATTTTAACGTGTATTTTGGCTGGTTTTCTTGTTGAGGTAAGTTCTGCTGTATTTGCCTTTAAGAAATGATTTAGGACGTGGATTCTTTTTTGTGTTCCGAGATGAAGTGTTGGCGATTTTTGTACCTTAATTGTTCGTTAATTTGTTTTAATTGTTCGCGCAAAGATAGTAGAGAAATCTCGATCAAAGTTATCTGCCGAAGACAAGGAACAACTAAAGCTCAGAAAAGTAGCCAAAATCAGTGAAAAGAATAGATGCCTAAACCAGCGGCCGGGAAACAGTATCGCCGGCGGTTGTGACCCTGCGAGCCCCGCGTCGCGACCCTTGGCCGCCTATTCAAGTGCCACGTATCCAGTTGAGACGCAGGTTGTTTAAGCGGCGCCGGCGACATATGCTGCGCACATTTGGTGTAGGCATAATGGCCACAGATGGATAGCAGAAAGAACTGAGCAACTTCACCTACATCGTCCAGAGAGGGCGCTGTACATGGCGACGCCAAAAGTGCGCCCACTATTTGCCACCCACATCCAAGTAATTGTGCAGGGAGCGTGGCCGCCAACCTTGCTTGATCGCGCTTTTGTTGGGTAATGCTGTTTTCGTGCAGTTGCTAAAAACAGTCTGGCAGCGCAAAATAGGGTAATAGTTGTCTCAACTGGATATATCCCAAGAAAACCAGCATCCTGTCATGTTCACAGCCACAACCACTGATATGGCGCTCTTTTAGACTCCATTTTTCAGTGGACTCCCGCCCAGGAAGCCAGACCTTTCATTCTGTGTGGGTTGAATAGTATCGATCTTGTATGGGACGATATAACATCGATTTGTACATAGATTGATCGTGCAAATTACCGTCCAGGCTTAGGACCAAGTCGATCAAGGAATGGAAATGGAGTGCATGGCGCATTCTAGAAAGAAACTGATCAACGCAGAAAGCTTCATCTAGAGCTTTATCCGCTTCAGTGATAACTTTTTAGAGGTTTTCGCGTCAAGATAAACGCGGTAAACTTCCCCGCTGGATGCAAGAATATCTGGAAACGGCATCAACAAATCTGAGCATCGACGAGGCAGTACAGCTGGCTCGACGGTCGGTATTGCTTTAATTTTTATCTTTTTTATAACTGGGTGTCTTCGGCTCCGTGACACTGTTTGTTTATAGATGGCTAACCCTAATGGCTCAACCATTTACTAAAGCTGACCAACTGGGAATTTCCCTTCTCACTTCCGACATGTTGAATCCAAAGGTCATGAAGAAGTTCGAAAAAGTTGTTGAGCATGTTGATTAGTTGTTACAGTGAGGTTTTAATGAGTTGCTCTTTTTTGTATTGTTGAATGTTCCTCGGTGACTTTTACAGGTGATCTTAGTTTTGTTACGTTACGTTCAGGTTCCATATCTCGCAATTATTCCGCCTTATGGTTAGATCTCGTCAATAAAAAAATTATATAGAGCTTTTTTCTCTGGTTTTTGATCTGATGGTCAAGGTTCCATGTGATTTCTGGTTGCTGAATATGTATGTTTCCCTGTGGAACTGTCCACCTGAATCGGTCTAGGTTGAAATCAAAATAGGTAGTAAAGAGGGAAGGGTAGGGAGAAAATGGAGACTGTGAAAGGTCAGTGAGTTGAGTGAAACAGTATAGCTGTGAATGCTGATAGGCTTTGGTAGTACTTTTGAAATAAGACCTCAGTGGCAGCGAACCTTATATCATTGGAGGAAAGTTTTGCAAAATACGACCCCACCCTCGCTAGGCGACTAGCGAGTAGGACCTCCCCTTAGAGTCACTTAACATAGTGGGTAGCGCGCGTGAAACACGACAAACCTACTACAAACAAGGTCTTTCTCAGGCCAAACAGCCAACAGAATTTGAAAAATTTGATTTGAATTGAAATTAGAGATGAGCGAGCTGTGGAAACGTATGCCAGAGGTATTTAAAGAAGGTGTGTGAGTTAGGACAGGGCAAACTAAGTGTCCTCAACAAGGGCTTCGTATTTCAGTCGTTGGGGTATGGTCTCTGGGCTTGCTGGGGGGAGTCTGTTTAGCATGAACGAACTCTAGTCGATAAGTGTGCTGCGGGAAATCACAGGTGGGAAGTTGTAGGGAAGGTGGGTGTTGAACTTTTGAGCTGGAGAAGAGCCACAGACTTGAAA